CTGACTGGGTCGGAGATTCTTCGACGGGAGTCTGAGGAAGGCTCTCCTCTAGAGGCGTGCCAGCGGCGTCCATGCCGTTGGTCTGCACGATGGGCGGCAGGATAGGCGGGGATACAGGCTTGGAATCCAGATCCGGGGTGTTGGAGCGCACGCTGGTCAGGTCATCCTGAATCTCCAAGGTGGCTGGGGTCTTGGCCGGCTCCAGCTCCTCCCCCTCCTCTATCACTTCTACTGTCTTGGATGCTCCGCACCCCATTGTAACCTATACTAGGGCCCTGTGTAGTGCATAATGTGTCACTGTAACACCCGCACACGTGTACACCCTCACACCCTCCCATATCCTCACACCCTTCCACACCCGGACATCCTACCACACCCACTCATCCTCCAATACCTGTACACCTTCCCACGCCCTCCTACACCCGCACACCCTCCTACACCCCTCACATCCTCCCATGCCAGCACACCTTACCACACCCCTAACACCCTCTCACACCTGCACACCCTACCACACCCACAAATCCTCCTACACCCGAACACCCTCCCCCACACCCGTACACCTTGTGGTACATAATGTGTCACCACAACACCCGCACAACGGTGCACCCTCACACCCTCCCCTCCCACACCCACACATTTTCCTGCACACCTTCACACCCTCCCCCACCAGCACACCCTAACACCCTCCCACACCCGCACACCCTACCACATCAACATATCCTCTTACACCCTCACACCCTCCTATACCCGTAAAACCGCACACTCGTACACTCTCCTACACCCACACCCCTCAAGGAAGGTTCCTTGATGTTGGTGAGGGGCTCTTGATTTAGGGAATTGGATCTGTGCTCCAGTTCCCCGAATTAAGCCTGAATGCCTTCCACATCCCCCCCCAGGCGCTGTATAATCCTCCGGGTTTAGCGCTTCCCCCTTGATTAAAATACTAATAATCCTACAGCCACACATCCTCCTACACCCGCACACCCTCCTATACACGCACATCCCGCACACTCTACCACACCCGTACACCCTCCCACACCAGAACACCTTCCCACACCCATATAACTTCCTACACTCGCACACCCTACCATACACACGCACCTTAATATATTTTTACTGCACATGTAAGTTTTATCAAACACCTCAACTACTGGGAACGCTTAGAAGCACTTGACTTGTACTCGCCGGAAAGCAGGCCAGAGAGATGTATAATAACCTAGGAAATTTCTAGAGGGAATGGTCCCAAATTTGCACTCAGAAATCACTCCCTACGAAAGTAAAAGACTGGGCAGGCTGTGCAAAATATCACCAATGAAAAGTAGAGGGAGCCACTGGATACCTGGAGGTTACCTGGAGGTTATTCCGGGGATCAACGCCCCCGCGGCCCGGTCCATGACCAGGCCTCCCGGTGGATCAGGGCCTGTTACTGCTGGCCGCACGCAGTCCAACGTACGAGCCACAGCCCGGCTGATCCGGCACTGACTTTAGGTATCTGTCCAGCTCTCTCTTGAAGGCAGCCAGAGGTTTATTGGTAATTCCCCTCATGCTTGATGGGAGGCTGTTGAACAGTCTTGGGCCCCGGATACTTATGGTGTTTTCTCTTAGTGTACCAATGACCCCCCTACTTTTAATTGGGGGTATTTTGCATCGCCTGCCCAGTCTTTTACTTTCGTAGGGAGTGATTTCTGTGTGCAGATTCGGGACCATTCCTTCCAGGATTTTCCAAGTGTAGATTATGATATATCTCTCCCTCCTGCGTTCCAACGAGTACAAGTCAAGTGTTTCCAAGCGTTCCCAGAAGTTAAGGTGCTTGACAGAACTTATACGTGCAGTAAAGGATCTCTGTACGCTTTCTAGATCTGCAATTTTACCTGCTTTGAATAGAGATGTTAATGTACAGCAGTATTCCAGCCTAGAGAGAACAAGTGATTCGAAAAGGATCATCAATGGCTTGGCATCTCTCGTTTTGAAAGTTATCATTATCCATCCTATCATTTTCTTTGCACTTGTGATCGGGGCACTGTTGTGATCCTTGAAAGTGAGATCCTCAGACATTACTACTCCCAGGTCCCTTACATTATTTTTCCGCTCTATTGTTTGGCCAGAGTCTGTAGTATACTCTGTTCTAGTTATTATCTCCTTCAGTTTTCCATAACGGAGTAGTTGGAATTTGTCCTCACTGAACATCATATTGTTTTCCGTTGCCCACTGGAAAACTTTGTTTATATCTTCTTGGAGGTTAACCGTGTCCTCAGCAGATGACAGTCTCATGCCGATCCTAGTATCATCCGCAAAGGATGATACGGTGCTGTGGTGTGTATTTCTGTCTATGTCTGATATGAGGACGAGGAATAAGATGGGGGCGAGTACTGTGCCTTGTGGAACAGAGCTCTTCACTATGGCAGCCTCCGATTTAACTCTGTTGACCACTACTCTTTGTGTTCGATTTCTTAGGAAGTTGAAGATCCATCTCCCCACTTTCCCAGTTATTCCTTTAGCACGTATTTTGTGCGCTATTACTCCTTGATCGCATTTGTCAAACGCTTTTGCAAAGTCTGTGTATATTACATCTGCATTCTGATTTTCTTCCAGTGCATCCAAGGCCATATCATAGTGATCCAGTAGTTGTGAGAGGCAGGAGCGACCTGCCCTGAACCATGTTGCCTGGATTGTGCAGATTTTGGGAATCCAGGTGATTTGCAATCCTGCTTCTTAGCACTCTTTCAAAGATTTTTATGATGTGGGACGTCAGAGCTATTGGTCTACAGTTCTTAGCTAATGCTTTGCTGCCACCTTTATGGAGTGGGGCTATATCCGTTGTTTTAAGTGACTGGAATTTCACCCATGTCCAAGCTCCTCCTCCATAGTGTATTTAGGGCACGTGAGAGGGGTTTCTTGTAGTTCTTAATGAATACAGAGTTCCACGAGTCTGGGCCCTGGGCTAAGTGCATGGGCATGTTGTCAATGGGTTTTTTGAAGTCTTTCGGAGTTAGGGTAATGTCGGAAATCTGGCATACATTTATGGAGTTTTGAGGCTCAGTCATGAAGAAATCATTTGGGTCGTCGATCCTCAGACTGATTAGTGGCTCACTAAACACAGAGTCGTACTGGGATTTCAATATTTCACTCATTTCCTTGTTGTCATCTGTGTAAGTCCCATCCTGTCTGAGTAAGGGCCCGATGCTAGATGTGGTATTTGCCTTGTTTTTTGCATATGAAAATAAATATTTCGAATTTCTTTCAATTTCACTAATTGCTTTAAGCTCCTCCTGTCTCTCCTGGTTCCTGTAAGAGTCATTTAACTTAAGTTCGATAGTTTCCACTTCCCTGGTCAGCGCCTCCTTTTGTGTATCAGATATTCTAGCATTCCTGAGGATCTCAGTGACTCTTCATCGTCTTCTGTAGAGGGAGCGTCTTTCTTTCTCCAGTTTACTCCTGCTCTTCTTCTTTCTTAGGGGAATATGCCTAGAACATGCTTCAGCTGCCAGGAAGTTGATCCTTTCAAGGCACTGGTTTGGACACATGTCATTTAAGATATCTTCCCAACATGTTTCATTTAAGACATGGTTTACCTGGTCCCAGTTGATGTTCTTGTTGTTGAAGTTGTATTTTATGAAGAAACTTTCACAGGTACATGCATTCTGCTGTTCAGGATCCCTATGCATGTACGTCTGGACTTCGAGTAGATTGTGATCAGAATTGGTTGTTTTTGATATTCTTATGTCTCTTATCAGATCCTCATTATTTGTGAAGATAAGGTCAAGTGTGTTTTCTAGTCTTGTTGGCTCCACTATCTGCTGGCTTAAGGTGTGTTTATCACAGAGACTTAGTAGCTCATGTGTGTGTGTGACCTTTCATCTGCGCTACCTCCAAGGATTGTTTCAGCTATAACATTATTCGCTACATTCTTCCATTTTGTATACCTTAGGTTGAAATCACCAAGCAGTAAGATGTTTGGAGATGGGGCTGGAAGGCTTTCCAGACAGTAATCAATTTTCAGTAGCTGTTCCTTGAACTGCTGGGAGGTTGCATCTGGTGGCTTATATACAACCACAATGACTAGGTTTTGGGTCTCGATCTTTATTGGTAGAACTTCAACTACCTCATTTGTGGTGTTCAGCAACTCGTGCAGATGAGCGACTCTTTGACATACAGACCAACCCCCCCTTGTTGCCTGTTCTTTCTGTCGCATCTAAAAAGGTTGTAACCACTTATCCATATTTCACTGTCAAAGTGATCTTTTGTGTGGGTCACTGTGAAGGCTGCAAACGTTGCATTAGACTCCACTAGAAGTCCACTGATAAAAGGTATTTTGTTGTTGGTGGATGGCTTAAGGCCCTGTATATTAGCAAATATGACGAGGTTGTATTCTGTGTTTGTTGGGGGATTTTGTTATTGGCATCAGTAGTTGGTACACAAAGAGAAAATACCTTTAGTGTCTGGGGCCCAAGACTATTCAGCAGCCTCCCACCTGGCATAAGGGAAATTACCAATAGGCCCCTGGATGCCTTCAAGAAGGAGCTGGACGGATACTTAAAGTCGATGCCGGATCAGCCGGGCTGTGGTTCGTACGTTGGACTACGTACGGCCAGCAGTAACAGCCTGGTTGACCAGGTATTGATCCACCGGGAGGCCTGGTCGTGGACCAGGGGACGTTGACCCCAGGAATACCTTCCAGGTAGACTCCAGGTAGGTAGACCTGCACACCCTACCATACCCAAACACCCTCGTACACCTGTACATCCTCCTACACCCGCAAACCCTCTAACACCCTCCCACACCTGCACACCCTACCACACCAGCACAGCCTCCTATACCCGTACATCTTCCTACACCCATACACCCTACCACACCAGCGTACCTTAATATACCCATACACCCTACTATACCCTCACACTCTCCTACACTTTCCCATACCACACACCTTCCTACACCCCCACCCTTTTCAACAACCCCTACATCTTTCTCCATACCTACACCCACACGCCCTTTGTTTATTGACGTGGGAAACATTGAGGAGCTACTAAAACATTCCTGGAGGCTTCCAGTACCGACATTGAATGCATTAGTCACACACACTGTCGTTCACGTCCCTATATTCGACTCAAGTACACGACAACTAAGCCTACTGTAGTGTTCCTCCATTATGTTCGTATATGTGAGTTCCATCTTCGAGTGCTCAGTACCAGCATGGAACTCTCGCCTAATAAAACATTTTCA